ATCGCTGCAGTAAAAACTATTTATTTGATTTACGAGTCTAAACTAAGAAAAAATCAGACTTCCCTTTAATAACTAAGCTTATATATTTCGATAAAAAAAGACCTAGTTATCATCCTCCCTGACACGCATTCCATGTAACAATGGTTTCCTTATTCGCTCCAAAAAAAAGAGAAAGAAATCCACACCGCATTGAAACTGAGTTGCAACAGCCAGCTCCTGGATGTCAGCATCAACAAAACCAGCACTGCTGTCGACGATGAATCGCCGTTTGTGACGTATTTTGTACGATCCGATGCTTGCATAAAGCTCCATCAACTCCCTCCAAGCATCATTCACCGTATACTGAAACACAACAATTGTGTGCTTCGCACTCACTCCCAAAAAACCAGGAGACAAGAGGAAGGAGGAGAGTAGAAGCATAGGAATCGAAGACGGGGAAGGAAGGGAAGGAGCCACACAAAAAAATTTGACGTCTCACATTTAAAAGTGCGATATCCGTTTGAATTTTTATTCTGCTCGCTTAAATTAACCGAAATAAAATTTATATTGTTTTCCGCATTTATTTATTATAAGTTAGAATCCTCAGTATAGTTTTTCCTTAATTTAGCTGAGACTCGTTTTTTAACTACTAATCTTTTTTTTTTTTTTGAACTGCTGTGTGGAGTTATGTGGTTGAGAGAATCTCAAAATAGAGAAGACTGGAGAAACTGCCAGTAGCGAAGGAACGCCTATAATCCACTCAGTCTTTCCGAAAGACTGACCACCAGGCGATGCAGCATTGGTCAAAAAACAAATGCGAAACGGAGAAGGAAAATGGAATGGTTGTCGGTTACACTACTGGAGGGCGTTCCGATTACGATTCATACGCCACCCAGTAGCCCTTTCAAGAATCTTGGGCTTCAAGCCGATACCTCAAATTCTTTTCTGCTGTCATCAAACTGCTGTCTCATTGAGGAAAAATGCGAGTAAATGTGGACGCTGAAGATGAGTGCTCCCAGTAAGCATACAAAACATGCAGCGGCAATCATGTGTAGAGTGACCATCCCGTGCAGTAATGACTGTACGGCCTGAAACATTTTGACAGCAAAATTTTACATAAAATCACTGGTTACAATCAATCG